AGGCTAGTGAAAACTTACAGGGATAATTCATAAGCTGTGCTTCTCATCCTCAAAAAGAAACAAACCACTTGCTATAGTCATTTTTTTTTTATAATTTATCACTTGATAGGAAATAGAATGCCATTTTTCCTTCCTGAAGTCCCATAAAAATTATTTGGCCTAAGTTTCATTGAAAATTTTTTATATTATGTGAATTTTCTACTTGAGTATAAGCTATAATCATAAAAGTTTATTGTGCTTTGCCCCAGTGTTATCTCTAGAGCCTAAAATATTTTCTTGTGACAGGAGACATTTATATTCAATAATTTGTATAAATTAGCAATTTTTATTCATGTCTCGTTCTTATAAATTGCTCTATTGGAATATTTGTTACATGCTTGTTGACTTGTGAAAATTTAATTGATTATTTTTTGGGGGGTGGGGTTGTGATTTTACTGTATACTTACTTGTTATTCCCTTTTCTGTCATAGTTGATACAATTTTCTCAAATTTTGATATGTAAAATTTGTTTATAGCACTTAGAAATTCTTAAGTTTTCTATGTGTGTAATAAGAATTGTGATGCATTCTGCTGTCATGTATTTAAAAAGTAAAATTCTTAACTTTTATTTTATTTTATTTCATATTTTGTTACTGGGAATTGAAACTATGGGCACTTTAACACTGAGTTAAATATCTTGCCCTCTTACTTTTTTTTTTTTAATTTTGAAATTGAGTGTCTTTAAATTGCTAAATATTGGCTAAGTTGCTGAATTTGACTTCAAACTTTCAATTCCTCCTCCCTCAGTTTCCTGAGCTGTTGGAATTGTAGACATGCATCACCATTCCCAGTTACATTCAATTTTATTCTTAATCACCAAATAATAATTTTACAAATTTATGAATTACAATTTCTTTCTTCTTTTTTTTCCTTTCCTACTTTACACTTTTACCTGTATGCTGTGATATAGTTTAATTCTGTATCTTCCTTTTTGAAGAAATAGATAAATATCTATCATTTTCCTTAACCTTTCATAAATATATATATATGTATATTTATATATTAATAAAGGAGAATGTATGATGTTATACCTCTAATTTATAAATGTTAATAACACATGTATTTTATTATACTATATAACATATATTATATGGCATAAGTATGTAATTCATAACATATATTTATCTTATATAATATATAATATTATTAACATTATTTATTGCATATATATTATATATACATATATATATAATTTCACTTGGAATTTTTTTCTAATATTTTTATCTTCATTTTTTAAAATTTATTTGTTCTAATCAGTTATACATGACAGCAGAATGCTCTTCAATTCATTGTACACAAATACAGCACAATTTTTGACTTCTTTGGTTGTACACAAAGTAGGGTTACACCATTTGTGTAGTCATGCATGTACCTAGGGTAATGATCTTCCTCTCATTCTACCATCTTTCCTATCTCCAGGCCCTCTCCCCATCCCACCCTCCCCTTTGGCCCATACAAAATTTCTTCATTTATCCCCATGCCCCCTACATATGTATTAGCATCCACTTATCAGAGAAAACATTCAGCCTTTGTTTTTTTGAGGATTGGCTTATTTCACTTAGAATTATATTCTCTAACTCCATCCATTTATGAGCAAATGCCATGATTTTACTCTTTTAATGCTGAATAATATTCTGTTTTGTATATATACCACAGTTTCTTTACCCATTTATCTATTGAAGAGTGTCTAGGTTGATTCCACAATTCGACTATTGTGAAGTGTGTTGCTATAAACATTGCTGTGGCTGCGTCCCTGTAGTATGCTCTTTTTAAGTTCTTTTGGTATACACCAAGGAGTGGAATAGCTGGGTCAAATGGTGGTTCCAGTCCAAGTTTTTAAGGAAAATCCATATGTCTTTCCAGATTGGCTGCACCTTTCCCTTACATCCTCTCCAAGATTTATTGTTGCTTGTATTCTTGGTAGGTGCCATTCTGACTGGAGTATGATGAAATCTTAGAGTAGTTTTGATTTGCATTTGTCTCATTACTAGAGATGTTGAACATTTGTTGATTGATTGTATATCTTCTTCTGACTTTCACTTCATTTTTAATTTTTTTTTTTTAGTTGTAGATGGACACAATACCTTTATTTTATTTTTATGTGGTGCCTGAGGATGGAACCCAGAGCCTTCCACATGCAAGATGAGCATTCTATCACTGAGCTAAAACCCCAGCCCTTTTTCTTTATTTCTAGCTGGCTTGTAAACACTTTATTTTTAGTTTGTTTTCTCAGAAATAGATTTATATATATTTATGCATGCTAAATGTCTAGGTGTGTTTAGCTCCATTTTTTCTAGCTCCTACTCTATTCTGTTGACATTTTTTCTATCATTATAATAAGACCTGTATTTCATTGTCAATGCCTTTTAATGATTCATAAGTTTTATTTTATCTTTTTGCTAAGTAAATTACTAGAATTTGTAATATCTGTACAGATTCTTTACTCATTCTTCATGAAATAGATTTTGAGTTATCTTTTTATTTTCAATTTTTATTGGTTCTTAGTTATAAATAACATTTAGATTTATTTTAACATAATTATAAAACCATGGAATGTAATTTGCTCTAATTCAGCCCCCAGTGCTTCCTTTTTCCCTACCATCCTTCCTCCCCTGTTCCTTTCCCTCTTCTATAACAGTCTTTCTACTATTTACTTATATTTATTTGTAATTCATGCCTTTTAGATATACCTAAAAGAGAAATTCACTGTAGTATATTCATTCACACATAGGAAATTAGGTTCATTTCACTTTTATTTCCTTATTCATTCCTTCCCCACTTTTCCACTGATCTTTATTATTGATTCTTTATGGAATCCCCACCACTGAACATTTTTTTTTCTTTTATGTGGTTTTGAGATTTACTTCATACAGACTGTTTTTAATTCCCTACAAGTTTTTAAAACAAATTTTAAAGTTCTGTTTACAAAATGAGTATATTGATGGTCATATTTTAAACTAATATCAAGTACATTTTGCAAGTATATATACTATTAGATTTAGGAGAAGCTTATGCACATCTGGTAAACCAAAATCATTGAATGTGGGCTGGGTTTGTGGCTGGGTGATGGAGCCTAGTACATGGGAAGTTCTGAGTTATATCATCACAACCACATAAAAGTGGATAAATAAAATAAAAAAAAATAAAGATAAAAAAATCATTAAATATGCTAGTCAACTTTTAGCATTTTTAAATTTTGCTATTTGGACTGCAAAGAATTGCAATGATATGTGACTCCTGTCCTTTCATAGGTTTACTCTGTAGTACATTATTATTAGTGGCAAACATCTCAAGAGTTGGAGGTAAATATTTGGTTTGGGTGCTGGGGTTGTGGCTAAGTGGTAGAGCGCTTGCTTAGCATGTGCAAGGCCCTGGGTTCGATCCTCAGCACCACATAAAAAGAAATACGTAAAATAAAGATATTTAAAAAATTTGGCTTGCAAGTTATTCACACATTTAGGTAAAATTCTAGTTGCATAAACATTTAACTACAAATACCTAAATATAATTTTGCCTTACTTTTGAGATATTATTTTCCAATTTATGAAGTATATTATAAGGTGTTTTATTCTTCACAAAAGAAAAAAATCTTAGAATAAGCACTTTCCAAAGTGTGCTCCGTAATCCCCAGGAAAAAAAGTTCTTATAAAAAAAAATGCACACTTTGGCCAAAGATATTTTCATTGAAAGGAAAATTAATCTCTCATGCACAGGCTATACTCTTTCCACATGTGAAATGCCTCCTGCAGAATAGTGTGACATTTTGTAGAACACATGTTAGGTTTGGCAGAGTCCAGATAACAAAAATGAAATAATCAAGGACATGCCATTGCTTTCATAGGAGGACCCTATTGAGTTTCCAGGAGCATGTTGTGGGGAGTGCCAGGCTGACATTCCCCTGTTGGCTCACACACATGAAATGATTTTTACTATTATTAGTACTAAGTATGGAGAAATAGATGTGAAGTAAATTCATTGAATGAAATACTGGGGTAAAGAGAACAGAACTAGAAAAATTTGGAATAGCATTCAGACTAGGAGAGAATTCTGACTCTTTAAGGAAGAAGGGGAGGGAGGGCAGGGTGATTCTAAAAGGATTGCAGCAAGGCCCTTAGGCAATGCTTGACTCAATGTCATCTTCCAAAGCAATGTTCCCCACGAATGGACCACCTCACTAAACATTTTGTGCTCAGTCACTGCCTAAGAACATTTGTGAGTGGGTTAAGGATTTCATGTGCATGGGTTAAGGACAGCAGTGAAGGCGTGTTCCCAACCACAGGAGATCTGTTAGGAAGACCCTCATAATAAGCAACTCATTATATCCGATTGTTCTTCCAACCAAGATGCCACCACTAAATCTCTTCCATGCAAAATTTCTAATAGCTTTCCGAAGGATTCACTAAAACTTTGGAAGTCAATGGAGAGAATAAACATGTGATGTTATATGATTCAATTACACGTACTCACTGTTAATAAAATGATAAATTATTTGGGTACATTTAATGTGTTACATTTTTTTCCTAGTCAGCAGAATCTCCTCAATTTACGTCATGAATGCAAAGAGGTAAAATAATTTTATAAAATTGGATAGAAAAGTGCCACTCTCCAGTTTTATAAAGTTACACTCTAAAATGTTTCTTTTTATTGCATTATTTATTTTTTTCCTATAGTGAGAATTTGAAAGAATCCCCAAAACACTTTGAAAACTCTACATCCAAAGCTGATTAGTTTCTTTAATTTATGATTTAAAAAAATGTAGTTTGATGTTCCTTTAAACAATAGTTCAACATCTGATGGAAACTTGAAGCTAAAAGCATTTTTCCTAAGGAAGATTTTTTTTTTTTTAAAGAAAGCAAACTGACCAAGAAGCCTTTCAGAATTATTGAATCCTAAGATTAGGACAAGGGAGTCCTTTGCTTTTAGTACAGGGAAGCCTGTCTGCTTTCTTCCCTATTCTTCAGCTCTGTGGTAGAAAGGATGAAAGGATGAAGGAGCTCTTGGGACTCAGCTGATCCAGAGTGCCAGAAAAGACAAATTGCAGCTTTAAACAGCTGGGAAATAGTCACCAAAATGAATCACCCTTGCTAAGGTGGTAATGGCTGATTGCTCCGTGATAAGCGACTCCAGAGGGATTCTGTTGCCAGCAGCCTGAAGGTTGAGGACAAAAGCTCAGGAAGAAGTCTGATTAACAACAGCCTGAATTCTGGGTGAGTCAGAGAGAACATTCTAATAAAAGATTTTATGTAACACTAGGGCGGTTAGGATGAAGATTTAAACAGGATTTAAAGGGTAGTTTGGGCATGCATGTTGTTGCGCCTGCTTTGAGAGGATTTTAATATGTGTTTACCAATTCTGACTTTACTTATTCATTAATACAATTTAGTTAAAATACAGGAAATGGTGCATAATGCCCTATGAACTACCTATAATTTCATAAGGCCACACAAAAAGTGATCTCTGAAAAGCCTCACATCTCTGATAAGCACAGGATTATCAGTTAAACTCTTATGTTCCCTATATTCAATATCAAGATTCATGGCTGTCCAAATCAGTCAGTCCATCTACAATTCTACTTGTCCATATATACTATGGGAATAATGAAACCATCATTTTCATTGTTTGATGAAAAAAATAAAAAGTCACTTTTGAAGACACTGGTTGTCATAATGCAGAAAGTACACAACATTTCTTCCCTCTATACTGCTGAAGGAGATTGAGATCTACTTTATAAGCTTGTAGAATCACTACAGTTGATTTAAGATTCTGGGCTTCAGCAGTATAAATGAGGTAAGTGTTTCCTCTCTCACTGCCAGCTTCAGGAAAGATAACTTTAATGGAAATGCTGGGCTGCATAAAAAGTTTAAATAGCATAGATAAAACAAAACTCAAAAATATATTATGTCACTAACAGAATTTACTTTAGAATATGAATTGAGTTGTGATTCCAATACTCAGCTGGTGGCAACAAAACTGCATCTCAGGACACAGCCACTGAGACCTCCATTTCACAGTAGACTATGATATTGTGTCCCTTAGCTATTTGTTATTTATTTGTGGTACAGGGAATTGAACCCAGAGCATTTTACCACAAAGCTACATACCCAATCCTTTTTAACAATATTCTGTTTTGAGACAGGGTCTTGTTAAGTTGCTCTGGCTGGCCCTGAAATTGCTATCCTCCTAGCTCAGTCAGGAAGTATAAGCCCCTAGCACAGCATCTGGTGTATCATTGACCATTATATGTTGACATGATTAAGCCTTGTCGTTCATTTGTGAAAATTGTTATTTTCATATATAAGCTGAACAACCAAATAATTTTGAACTACTACATACTGATATTATACACTCAATGTACCTATCATAGAGATTACAATTTTAGAAAAAAAAAGTTATAAAGAAATAGTGAGATGTACTAAATAAATCACAAATATATCTCTATCAGAGTCTCTGCTTCCATTTCTTCAGGTACCTCAAGCATGTATAATCTTTCAAAAAACATGAGATATAAAAATTATCCTTATAGTTCTAAGAAAAACTCAGAAAAAAAATTTATGGAGGGTTAATCTTTGTAACATCACTTTAACCCTTAAATAAATAATAATCTATTGTTGATGTTATCAATTGAAATTAAAATATTTTCTAGAAATTCACTTTGTGTTCATGAATTCATTCAGCAAACAAACAGTTTCTGGGTAGCTGTGAGGTGTTTGGGTACAGGTCCAAGAACTGTATACATCAGTGAACACTGTAGATCAGATATCTGCCCACGTAGAATTCACATTCTAGTAGAAGGGAACAGAAAATAAGCAAGAACAATTCTAACACACAAACCTAAATGTAAGGAATGCACATGATATATTATAAGGGGATAAATGTGAGAAATAAAGACTGATTGTAAGAAGCACACATTGTGGTGAGTGTTGCAATTTTAAATTGAATGTTAGGGTCAATACTCTGTGAAGTAACTTGTGAGCACTTTAGTAGAAATGAGTAAGAAAACTACTTTTTTACTTATGCAAAATGAAAAGACTTAGATTAATTTTGAGGCTTTGACTCAGTCGAAGAAGTTCCCTTTCTATTTATTTACCCACTTTAATTATAAAGGAGCTATTTTTTTAAGGGGACTTTTAAGAGGAATCATAGTGTGAATGACTCTGGGGAGCAGCTTTGTTTCGGTAATTATACTTCCTCCTTTTCTCCCCCCTAAATTCTAAGCCATCTCCTTATCTTATTCTTTCTCACAGATTGAAATGTCTGTCTACAGAGGGCCCACTGAGCAATCACATCAATTCTTAAATAGAGGTTTCTAACTAAGCCTTTGGAAGTTAGGAAATACAGCAGTGTCAACTCAGCAATGCACAGGGTATAGCCATGATATGAAAGGCTGTACAAGATGGTTATCCCATGATTGATTTTTATGTGTTCATGGACTAGAGATGGTACTTTAAGAAAAATAATTACCTTTATGAAATAGTATTACAGATAATGATTTTTGTCAAACTTGAGGAACAGGAAATGAAATAAATATTACATTGGAAAACTCAGTTTTATTCATTTCTATAATTTACTAGTGACAATATGGCTGGAAATAAAAATCTCTTGTATTTTGATTTATCTGGGGTAAGTAAAAGAAGCACATCACAAAATTCATTTATTAATAATGATCAATGCTTATGTTTTTATTGTATATCCCCAAACAAGAAGCCAGGTAGTACCTTTAATATGTAAAAAATAAGAAGCATTTTTTGAAAATAATGTTTCAAATTTAAAAAATTATGCACCTTTTCATTTTGTTTTGTTTTTTAAATTTTCATATTTTTACATTGGCAGATAAAATTGCACTTATAGTGTAAACAATATGGTTTGAATATATAGACATTGTGGAACACTAAATCTAATTTATGAACATGTGCATTACTTTGGATAGCAATCATTTTTATGGTAAGAAGATGATCAATATATTAGCACTTTTCAGGAGCAAAATGCATTAATTGAAGACACCATGTTGTACAATAGAACTCTTGAACTTATTCCTCTTATCTAAGTAAAATTTTGTAGACTGGGACCAAAATCTCCCAATTTCTCATCCTCAAACATCCTAACCCCTGTTAATTACCATTTACTCTCTACATCTATGATATCAACCTTTTAGATCTTGTATCTGAGTGAGATCACGCAATATTGGCCTTTGGGTTTTTTTTGTTTTGTTTTGTTCTTTTTTTACATATTTCATTTAACACAATGTCCTCCTGATTCATTCATGCTGCTGCAACTGACAGGCTTGTTATATTATAGCTTGGTGCTATTCTCTTGCATTTATCACATTTTCACTAGACATTCATTCACTGATGGACACTTAAGGTGATTCTACATCTTGGCTAAGGTGAATAAGGTGCAACAAACATGGGAGTGTCAGTGTCTTTAAACATATTGATTTCATTTATTTTGAATATATGAACTCAGAAGTGGGACTGGTGGGTGAAAATGCAGTTTATTTTTAATACTTTGAAAAATCTCTACACTTTTTTCACTTTAAAAAAATGTAGTTGTAGATGGACAGCATGCCTTTATTTTATTTGTGTATGTGTGTGTGTGTGTGTGTGTGTGTGTGTGTGTGTGTGTGTGTGTCTGTTGCTCAGGATAGAACCCAGTGCCTGCCATGTGCAAGGCAAGTGCTTTGCCATTGAACTATAGCCCCAGCCCCACACTTTCTTTTCTTTCTTCTTTTTTTCTTTGTTTTTCTTTTCTTCTTCTTATTTTTTTTAATGACTCTACTAACATACATTGCCATCAGTAGAGTGGAAAGTGTTTCTCTAAATCCTTGTCAACACTAGTTAAGTTTTTCTTTTACGTTATAGCCATATTTACTGGGCCAACATAGTATTGTGATGTCCATTTTCATAATCCTGATGACGAATGCGTTCGTTGATAGTTTTTTATATACGTGTTGAACATTTCTACTTTAAGATGATGCATCAGAGCATTTGCCCATTTTTTTTCACTTTTTTTAACTGAGTTTTTTGTGTTCTTACATATTTTAGATATTAATCCTTATCAGAGTTATACTTTACAAGCATTTTCTCACACTCTACAGGTGATTCTTTTCTCTATGAATTGTTTCCTTTGCTTTGCAGAAGATTCTAGTAAGGCATTTAATACCATTTCCCTATTTTTACTTTTGTTGCCTGTGCGTTCGAGACCATCTCCAATGAGTTATTGCCCAGAACAATGTCCTACCGCTTTCCCCGTATCTAAAAGTTTCATAGTGTTCAGTCTTTAATCTATTTTGAGATTATCTGTATCTATATAATATATAGTGTGAGAAAAGAAACTAATTTCTTTCTTTAAATGACTATCATTTCCCTTCTCTTAGCCCCTTTGATCTCATATTTTAATGCTAATTCTAAAGAGATAAGTAATTTATGCACCACCATTATATATCATTACTGTATTCTGAATTCGATATTGTACTTATTTTTCCCTGTGATTTTTATGCTTTCAATTGTTTCTATATTATTTATTAGCATCTGTTTCTTTCTGCTTCAAGAGTAATTTAGTATTTATTTCATGCCAGATAGGTTGGGGATGAATTCCAACAGCTTTGGTTTATGGGGTAAAGTCCTGTCACTTCAAAATATATTTCCTTATTATTGCACTACAACCAGGTTCTATGGCTCTCATCTGCTTTTTTTTAGCCACAGTGAAAATATTTTTGAGCATGGAATGCTGTTTAAATTGATGCTTCTATGAGGGAGACAGTGACTGGGACTGCTTCTTTACCTTCCTACTCTGCCTCAACTCCACAAAGTTCTTTTCTAGTAAAAGAGTCGGTGTTAGAGTGAATCAGTCAGCAAGGGGGTTCCTTGGTTTTTCTTCCTGTCTTCCTTTTAAAGTTTCTTATCTAGATATACAAATTTTATACCAGATTTCAACTTTTCTTGGAGGCAGTCTTCACAATTTTTACTTTATGTCAGGAGGCTATGTTAGACAAGCTGCCGACCTTGATCAGCTACGACAAATGCTTTAAAATCATGCATATGCCAGGGACAGTGGAGCTTGTCTGTAATCCCAGTGGCTCTGGAGGCTGGGACAGTAGGATCGTGAATTAAAAGCCAGCCTCAGCAATATAGCAAGGCCCTATGCAACTCAGTGAGACCCTGTCTCTTAATAAAATACAAAGTAGGGCTGTGGATGTGGCTCAGTGGTCGAGTGCCCCCCTGACTTCATTCCCCAGTACCAAAACAAAACAAAACGAAAAAAAACCACTGCCTTGTATGGTGTTATATATTAAAATTTGAGATTTTACACATAAAGTTATGACCCTTAATATATTGGCTCTAATTCATTCCTTCTTAGAGCATCAGAAATTACTTTGAAAATATTTCCCACTATTTTTCTGTGTTAATAGATATTTAATATAATTTATTCTTAGCTGTGAAATGATGTTTTTTTCTTATCTTTTGAAAATAAGACATGCGAAATGTAATGTTACATATGAAAGAATAACATCCATTAAGTATATAAATAAGCAGATAAAAACATTGTATCTTGTAATTTTTGTGTATTCCCAATGTTTGATATACTGATATTACACATCCTTTTCATGTCTAGTTGCTATGAATACAGAGCCCAAGACTTCCTTTCAATAATCTACTATTTTATCTTTTATCTGTGCATTTGAACTTTTTTGCCTGCTGGATCAAACACTTTCTTTTATCAATGAGATGAAAAGATTTTCCATGCATTATTCTCAATTTTAAAAATAAAACTATCTTCTGAAGATTAGAAGCAAATAAAAGAGGAAGTAATTTCAAAAAAGTTCATGAGATTTGCTTATCTATTAGGAGTGTGTGTTGCATATGACTTTAATAACATTTCTTGAGAAAGACAGAGTAGAATTTTTAAAACTATTTTTGTTGTCAATATCTTTATTATTTTATTAATTTTTTTAATGTGGTGCTGAGGATTGAACCCAGTGCCTCACGCGTTCGAAGCAGTCATTATACCACTAAGCTACATCCCCAAAGCAAGATTTAATTCCCAAAGAGATACTGGCTTATTGTACATGTCTAAAATTTCAATAAAATGCGAAAAGTAACATATAAAAAAAAGGACCTTTAGAATTTGCTTTTACTCCTCAATGTCCAGAAAACTCAAATTATTCTTTTATTTATGGTACACGTGATGAAATCATAGACTATAAAAACATTAACTATTGAGTGGTCTTCATTTCACATAACTATATCATAGTTAAATTTAATGAGTAGCGTTTTTCTTTAAAAAGTTGATAGATATTGCTCATACAGACTAATTTTAGTGGAAATCAGATGCCTCCTATAACTATTTCTATTCTCACAAAAGAAAATATACAACACTCCTGGACCTCTTATTAGAAGAATATGGTGTTATATTTTGTTTTAATTTTCTTATGATGAAAGGCTAGGCAAAATTCTTCCTTCCACTGTACTTCCAGGGAAAGGGGGTCTTGTAAAAACGCATTAGATTTAGTGTTCCCTAAAGCAGTATCTTGTCTGGAGACTAGCGATACCCAATTCCTCTTAAATTCAGAAAAGCCTTGGTCCTTCTCTTAATGATGCCACCCACTTTGCATTGTCATGCTTTCCATTGTGAATTTTCTCAATTTGAACAGCTGTTTTTCTCAGTGTGACATAAATGTCCTCATTTCTTTCACAAAACTGCTACCTGTTCAAAGTTTCTGTCTTGGAGGAATTTCACTTTACATTGTTCCAATCTTGGGCACAGCAATAAATTATCTCCCCTAGTTCTACTTGGAACGTATTGCCCTGGGCATTGCTACCTCCAAACACTAAAACTTTACTGTCTTTCATGAATTATCTTAAAAATTTTATTCAAATGTTTTCCTGATTACCTACACTTTGCATTCATATTTTCTCTTAGGCTGTAATGCAAAGATTTGTCTACATGTTTGTCTTTGAAAATTATGATTAAGCAATTAACTAGATGTCTTTTGTTATTAATGAGTTTGTAGCTCTGCGTCTTATGATCAATTTCTTATCCAAACATGCTTTAAGTGTGATGTTATATATGGATTTTAAAAAATCCTATAAGTTGATTGTAACCACACATTTATTAGAAGATCAAAACCCAATGGTTGGGAATCCTTTTTATCATTCCATAATAATACTATTTTTTCTTGAAGGAAAAGTTAATAATATACAATTATATTCTCTGTGCCCTCTATTACTTTAATTATAACTATAGTTTATCCTTTCTTAGAAGGCCCTCTGTTTAATTAAAATGTTACAAGCACTGTGCCTTAGCTTTCCCTCCTTAAAGTAGGGATTTATTGGAAGTAAATGGATCCCTTTTAAGAACATTTAATGTAAAGTAACACACAAATAAAAAGTGTTGTTAAAATTTCTTTTTCTTCTCTATTCAATGTTTTTGCATGTTTTCTGTCCAGTTGCTTGGGTACCTATATTTTCATTATCATTTGTCTACTGAACAAATATTGGCATTCTATTA